AAATGTTCTTTACAGCATACCTAATCCGTATTATCCTGCTTCAATTTCTTCCATTAAAATATTTAATAACTTTTTCAAATTACTTCTTTTACAGTTCCATAGCTTCTCTTATTGGCATTTTCATTGGACACTTTTACTATTTCCTCAAGTTCCAATATCCTCAAGAATTAGGTGGCAATGCTTTCCTGGAAACACCCTTCATACTGTAAGTATTTTACTTTTTTACTGTAACAAGTTTTTTTTTATAAATTTTTCTCTTTTTCCCATTTAAGCAAACAATATGTACCCGATGTAAGTGGTGGCATCAGCTACTTTGGTGTACCACCAGCGTCCAGAGCAGAGCAAAGACCTGGTGGCGGTGCTGCCGCTGCTGCTGGTATTTGGGGTCGTGGCAATACTTTGGGCCGTTAAAATTTCATCTCAACTAACACCCCTCATTCCCTAGCAAACTAATTGAATATTTTTTGTATAGTAAATGAAAAATAACAAATATTTTTATAAATTGTACTGAATTTCGAAATTATTGTTTTCTTCATTACTCATACTTACATAGTAAATCTGTGTCTCTCAAACGTATTATTACACATCATGTAATTTTATGTAAAACCCCTAATGTTTTTGTACTAAAAGATAACCGGGAACTAATATTGTAAAAACAGTAATCATATTATTAAGGTGAAAAGGTTGAATACTAAAGCGAGCTGATAATTAGTTTAATTTATATGTAAAATAAAGAAAATATTTAAAGAAAACTTTTATGATGTTTTTTAATTATTACAAATTTTACTGCTTGGTTTCACTAAAATTGGTTTTTAAGAAAATAGATTTAATATTCACTATTAGTTTCTGCATTTGTTAGTTTGTATATGTATAAGTTTAGGTGAAACTGAAACTTCCGGACACTATATAGATTCAAATTCATATAATTTTTAACGGGTGTAGATTTATTTTTTGACAAAACTTAAAACAATTAACTAAACATTAATATAAAATTAAAATGAACATTCCAATCAATTTCTATTTAATATCACACAGTAAGGCCACACCTCGTACAATCCAATGATCAGGGTTTTTAACAGTATTTAACCATAAAGGTGATATATAATTTAGATCAGTACGATTTATTTTCTTATAAACAGGGCACTAAAATTAATTAAGTTTTTTTAAAAAAGAAAACACATACACAAAAAATAATAAGCAAATATACCGTATACAACTTGGGACTCTTGGGAGCGGTGGAATTTATGGCCGATATATGAACAACCGGCATTAAAACATACAACACTTTATTAGTTGATTCAATTAATCGTGAGGTCTTACGATCCCAACCGGCACCATCCAAATAGAGTCCATGCACATAAACACCCTCTTTAGGTGGTTTCTTACACTCATCGGTGCCTATTTTTAAAACTTCATTTGTCATTGTCACCTGATCTAGGGCCCAACCATTGTGAGCTCGAGCTACTTCCTGTTTCATGGCGGTGAGAAATCCTTGTGGATTAAAAAATCCCGACATCCAAAAGACCACAGGACGACTCTAAATTTTAAACAAATTATAATCAATTTTGTTGGAATTTATATTTGCAGATAAGTAGGTACTTACTCCAAAACACCAGGAATAGAATTGAGCATTTCTTTCCAACAACTCGGTAAACCAAAAACCCAGAGTTGATGAAACCCAACTGCCTCGCAACCAAACGCCTGGTACTCGAGCGTTAAATATGTTATCTAAAGCATCTCTTAATTGTTCACTCATGATAATAGTTCCCTCAATGGCCAAAAGTAAATCTTTAAGGGTGGATCTAACCAATATGATAATCTAGAAGGAATTAAAATTGTATCTGCATATTTTATCTATCTATCTATCTATCTATCTATCTATATCTATCTATCTATCTATCTATCTATATATATCTATCTATCTATCTATATCTATCTATATCTATCTCATCTATCTATCTATCTATCTATCATCTATATCTATCTATCTATCTATCTATCTATCTATCTATCTATCTATCTATCTATCTATCTATCTATCTATCTATCTATCTATCTATCTATCTATCTATCTATCTATCTATCTATCTATCTATCTATCTATCTATCTATCTATCTATCTATCTATCTATCTATCTATCTATCTATCTATCTATCTATCTATCTATCTATCTATCTATCTATCTATCTATCTATCTATCTATCTTCTATCTATCTATCTATCTATCTATCTATCTATCTATCTATCTATCTATCTATCTATCTATCTATCTATCTATCTATCTATCTATCTATCTATCTATCTATCTATCTATCTATCTATCTATCTATCTATCTATCTATCTATCTATCTATCTATCTATCTATCTATCTATCTATCTATCTATCTATCATCTATCTATCTATCTATCTATCTATCTATCTATCTATCTATCTATCTATCTATCTATCTATCTCTATCTATCTATCTATCTATCTATCTATCTATCTATCTATCTATCTATCTATCTATCTATCTATCTATCTATCTATCTATCTATCTATCTATCTATCTATCTATCTATCTATCTATCTATCTATCTATCTATCTATCTATCTATCTATCTATCTATCTATCTATCTATCTATCTATCTATCTATCTATCTATCTATCTACTATCTATCTATCTATCTATCTATCTATCTATCTATCTATCTATCTATCTATCTATCTATCTATCTATCTATCTATCTATCTCTATCTATCTATCTATCTATCTATCTATCTATCTATCTATCTATCTATCTATTACTATCTATCTATCTCTATCTATCTATCTATCTTACTTACTTCGCTTTGATAATTGTCACTATCGTTTGTTTTATTAAAGAAAGAGTTCGGAAATCTTTCTAGTCTTTAAGAAAATGATAAAAATAGATAATATGATTTTTGCTCTCGATTTCGATTCTTTTAAAAATTTCTACCAAAAATCTGTTTTACAATCACTTCCTGTTTTATTAATCAATAAAATTTTTGAATCACCGCTGATAATTTAGCCGTCTTGCATTCGTTTTTAGGTAACGCCGTAATTTTTAGTGTCAGCCGCGTTCGCTGTAAATTTTTATCGGCGCAAGTCTCTGCTCAGAAGACCACGTAATGTTTTTATTTGAGAACTGTCAAAACTATACAAAATAACTATAATTTCATTATACTGGACCTAGATTACAAGAAGATTAAGAATTAAACAGATTTTACATTAGAATATTTTACTGAAAAGTATTTCCATTAAACTACAGCAAAAATAAAAGAAAACACAATGGCAGATGCCGGACAATGGTTCAAACAATTGCCCCGTTTCACCAGATACTGGCTGGCGGCTACAGTGTCCATGAGCTTATTGTCTCGTTTTGGTATATTGCCCTCCTATCAGATGTATTTATCAAGAGAACTAGTACTAAGCAAATTACATCTATGGAGATGTATCACTAGTCTTTTCGTTTACCCACTCACACCGTCAACGGGATTTCATTTTCTCATCAATTGCTACTTTATTACACAGTATAGTGCTCGCTTGGAGAAAGATCAATTTGGTCGCAGTCCGGCCGATTATCTATTCTTGCAATTGGTCGTAGCCTCGTTGGCCGTTATTGGCGGTTTACTCTTCAATGTACCGTTTCTTATGGATCTCTTAGTGGTGGCCGTCACCTACATATGGTGTCAGCTTAATAAGGAAGTTATTGTGAACTTTTGGTTTGGTAGTCGTTTTAAGGCGATCTATTTACCATGGGTTTTAGCTGGTATGGAGCTGATATTCCAAGGGTGAGTGTGAATAATTTCTAGAAAAGAAAGGAAATAATTTTTATGAGATGCTATTTTTCGGCATACAATCTTTACCACCAGGCTATGGCCAAAAGTTACCACCGTAAATGTATTTGTCCGGGTGTAGTTTAGTCTCTTTGTGTGACAATTATATCGTGAGGAATATATTATTTAAGAAAATTATAAAAACTTTATAGAAATGTTCTTTACAGCATACCTAATCCGTATTATCCTGCTTCAATTTCTTCCATTAAAATATTTAATAACTTTTTCAAATTACTTCTTTTACAGTTCCATAGCTTCTCTTATTGGCATTTTCATTGGACACTTTTACTATTTCCTCAAGTTCCAATATCCTCAAGAATTAGGTGGCAATGCTTTCCTGGAAACACCCTTCATACTGTAAGTATTTTACTTTTTTTACTGTAACAAGTTTTTTTTATAAATTTTTCTCTTTTTCCCATTTAAGCAAACAATATGTACCCGATGTAAGTGGTGGCATCAGCTACTTTGGTGTACCACCAGCGTCCAGAGCAGAGCAAAGACCTGGTGGCGGTGCTGCCGGCTGCTGCTGGTATTTGGGGTCGTGGCAATACTTTGGGCCGTTAAAATTTCATCTCAACTAACACCCCTCATTCCCTAGCAAACTAATTGAATATTTTTTGTATAGTAAATGAAAAATAACAAATATTTTTATAAATTGTACTGAATTTCGAAATTATTGTTTTCTTCATTACTCATACTTACATAGTAAATCTGTGTCTCTCAAACGTATTATTACACATCATGTAATTTTATGTAAAACCCCTAATGTTTTTGTACTAAAGATAAACCGGGAACTAATATTGTAAAAACAGTAATCATATTATTAAGGTGAAAAGGTTGAATACTAAAGCGAGCTGATAATTAGTTTAATTTATATGTAAAATAAAGAAAATATTTAAAGAAAACTTTTATGATGTTTTTTAATTATTACAAATTTTACTGCTTGGTTTCACTAAAATTGGTTTTTAAGAAAATAGATTTAATATTCACTATTAGTTTCTGCATTTGTTAGTTTGTATATGTATAAGTTTAGGTGAAACTGAACTTCCGGACACTATATAGATTCAAATTCATATAATTTTTAACGGGTGTAGATTTATTTTTTGACAAAACTTAAAACAATTAACTAAACATTAATATAAAATTAAAATGAACA